TACGCGGCTGGGCTTATTAGCCGTGGGCTTAATAACCGGCGACTACTGTAATGAAGAAAGAAATGCGCTGAGGGTCGACCTCACACTCCCCCCCCTCCACCCCACCGCCAACAACAGGCCACGGCCTAGCTGATCGTTCACATGAAGTGGCATGGACGAATATGAACATCACACATATGAAATATTGCGGACTACTTCCTTGTATAATTTCGGCATTTACCCAAAAAGAAAATCCTGTATCGAGGCACTTTCTGGGAGATGTCCAAATCCGATAATACAAAACATTCTCAAAATACGTCGCTTTATTTAAAGCCAGTTTCTCGAATGGGAATTATTCTTTTTAACCAAAAATCAAAGCATAAGCATATTTACAGCTAGGTACAAAGTATGCTTCTTTCAAAATTCAGGCCATGTCATTCCCACTCACCAAACTCGTTGGGGATAGGTTATTGACGCGTATTGCACATAAGCCCATTTTAGGGTTCTACTTTCATATTTTGCTACTTTATTAAAAACGGTTTAACTCGTCGCCGTTTGCAGCTGACCTTTCTGTCTGCGCTCTAAAATGCAAGCCTGACTGTTTACTTTCCATAGGGCGCGCTTATATTTTCCGATCGTCTTGTCAGCAGGCAGTTATTTTTATCGTGGATGCTCCCGATAATTTTGGACATTTTTGGAACGTCAGGAAAAACGTACTGAGCTATTATATGCGTGTGAGTTCTATTTTGCTATATAATTTGTCAACTGTGTCGCGTCTACTTCTTCTCTGCAACTTTCTGTGTCTCGTTTTCTCGCTTTTATCTCCGCTTTCACAGTCTGATATAATAAGCCTTCACTCGTTCGCCGTTATTCTGCTTGGATTAGCTATACTACTGAAAAATGTGTCTAAATGACCTCGCCCAAGGTCAGCGAACATCTCCCGACATACACGCGCTCACCGGTGGTGCAGTAGAGGTTAGTGATTACATTAAAATGTTCTTCGCTGTCCTCGCCCGAGGTCGGCGCACATCCTGCAACTTACCCTCGTAACTTTTTTAAATTTACAGGACTATTGCGCACTGATTTGTTCCCTGAAATGCCCCACCCATACTATCCCCTAAAATCAGGTACCCGTAAGACCGAGGGGCGCGCTTCGCGCGCACCCAGGCGGCCCCACGACGAATTCCTACCCATGCGCCAACCTTGACTTCATAAATATAAGTACCTAAGGACTGCCACTTGTTTTCCGGGCCGTCATCTACCAGAGGACAGGAGCGACCGACTTGCTGCTGCGCAGCAGCACTTGAAGCCCAGTGCCAGGGCAATTGCGCCTAGAAGCGAACAGGCGAGTTCCAGGAAGCAGTATTGCAGGAGAGATGGTGATCGCTGGAACACGAAGTATTTCGGCCTGGCATTGTTTGCTTGAACCCGTCATCCGAGACCGTCACAGACTTTGCCTGAACAGGATAATCATTCACGTGGGGGAGAACGCGGTTGACCAACAGTTACAATCACAGCCAGCCAAATTGCCACCTTATTCTCATGCCAACATCAAACACGAATGGTACCATCGGGGCACCTAACGACTCGCACACGGACAACCATACCACCATCACGTCAATTACAACCCCCAGTGCTGATTATAAGCTTTTCTCACTGTATAATGCATGTGGTCGCGTGGCTGATAGGGCTATACATACAGCGCACCTTGTGTCTCTATTGCGCTTATCGACGATTATGTCTGAGGATAGGCTCGAGCGGAAATCCGAAACGTTAAGCCAATAAACTTCTTGTTCCGGTGATCACATATTCTCCTCCACAATTCTGCATAACGGAAGCAAGACCAACTGAGAGTTGATTTTGGTCTGGGCGACCGACGAGAACTCTAACAATCAGCCTATTGATCTGCCGCCCGCATACAGAGCATTTTAGAGTCAGCTCCAGACTTGAGGCATTGTTCTTTGATTGAAGAATTACAATCACTTGTCCGGTTGTTGCTGTTGTTAAGACTGACGTAGGACTCTTGTGTGAGTTCGAAAATCCGTATAAATAGACGACCAGCTTTGGTGAACCATGGCAAAAGAAGGTGGTGCATGAAAGACAGCTTCGAAAGCTGCAATTGGAGGCAGTGTAGGTGCATGCTTCTCCATTTTGTAGGATCAATCATTTCTAATTCCAGAACCGTACCTTTATTGTGTCTTTCTTTAAACTCAGATGAATCCATAGGCTCTGATAACACAAGACAGGAAACTGTGGCTCTGGCTACCGTAGTAAGTCCTGAATGCAGAAGTCTGTGACCGATAGCAGAGACCTCCCGTTGGTGTTGCCAAATAAGACGGCTTCGCTGTGCACTCCGTTGGCCTAAGCTGGGGCTAAAACGTGACTTCATCTCTCCAAATCATGTGTGGTTGTATGGGCATCGTCAATGCCGGTCTGTGGTGGTTGTATTGATGGGGTTTAACGGAGGGAGTGAACAGATATGGTCAAGCTAAACTGTGAAAGGTTGTTGGATCCGATGGTACTTTGAATTTGCCAATGTAAGTCGGACCAGACACGACTACTGAGGGCCCGGCTGTCAATACGAGTGGACGTATACGGTAGTTTACAAATTTGCTCGTTAATTAAACTGTGGGGGACGGTTCTACTGGCACCCTTCTTGTAGGCATATCAAAAGGAATGATGAATCGGTTTTTGGCATTGTTTACTTCACAGGATACACTATCGTCTGAGAGTTGACTTCTGGGAGGGTGTTTAGACTTTACTCGAAATAAAACTTTAAGTTTAACAGGGGTCTGTCTTGATAAAAAATGGGTTGTTTCATACACTGCCATGACTGTCTGTGCACGTCTGCAAACCAGGAATCTGGGGATATTTAGAGCCAGCTGAGACGAGGCTGAACTGCACAAACTAAACCTAACAATCGTGTTACGGACGCCATCGGAAAGATGATGACAGAGCTACCTCCTGTCACGCTGGATTGGGTGGGGGGGATGAGCGGTGCGCTAAAACGTTGGACAGGATGCATAGAACTTCCAGGACGGTATGATCCAAAAATCTAAACAACG